GTGTCCCCTTGCGAAACATCATGTGTTCAGCCGATATTTCGCCTTTTCCTCACATCACCTCCCTCTGCGGTCTTACTCCTGTATCTTCTGTGTGTTTTCATCGAGATATAAGATTTGAAAAGCATCGCACCTAGAGAAACGATAAGAAGACTTAGGTCTTACGTCCATCAATCATCCGCAACTGCCTGTTAATTCATCCCATCGACTACTCACTACGCTCACCTGCTCGTTCACACTAACGGAATTTATCAACATCCTTCATTGGTCGTTCGCGACATTGAGTACACTCACTTCAGCAGCACAAAATGATTGATCCACCCAACAAAACGTCTCCAGTCTTCCTGAGGCTGTGTGTCACGTAATTGGGCTAGTGCAATGCGGCGTAGCCGGTGTGGTCATAGACCACATACCGGGGCCATCGACAGTCTAATTGCCACCCACCTGCGAATAAAACCTTTTCCTCTTCTTAAAGCAAACCGATTCAGATTTTTGGAAATATAGACGCCCCAAAGTCCCCGTTTAGCTGAGATTTCCTGTCACGTTTTTCCATCTATTGTTAATTGTGATGCCTCGATTGTTGCTAGTGATCACCAGCCTCTTTGTCAGATGACCCTTACTTTAATAATGGGAGCAGACAAGAATTCTCTTTTTTTTAAGTAAACCGGGATTCTGTGCTTTTAAGACGATTCTGTGTGCGTTGCACAGCTGGTCATTTTGAAATGTTTTAATGACATTTTAAATTGCCTGTTTTGCTCAACGAGCGAAATGAAATAAATTAACCTAGTAACCTCTGCCGTTGTGGGCATGCGCGGGAAATTTTTGGAAAAAAAGCGATCTTACTTGCCACAAAAAACGTCATAAAACATGCTCCACTTACGAAAATCTTCATTTGTGCTGAATTGCCGAAGCAAAAATTAATGGCTAAACAAGTTACTTATAAGGCCTCATCACCACATTTTCACCGTTGGTCTCGGACTTTGTTAGAACCCTTTGTAGAGTTGTTGCATGAAAACAATCGATCTAAGTGTGCGTTGCTGCAGTGAACTCAGACGAATTAGGCGCTTTATGCACTTGCTTGACCACTGAAAGTGTGAATTTTGCCTTTAGAAAACTCCTGCATTGTGAAAATTTATAGCCGAAAATGGGGAGTTACAGGAGGTACTTTAGTCACGAGCCACTTATTTGAAAATCCAGTTAATCAACATCAGAGCGATGGGTTGTGAATGGCAAAAATGCTTTAAAAAGACCACGTGTATTCGTTCAGAAAGTTGTAACTGTGCCTATCATTACGTCCTGCCCCAACATGAGGCCATCACATTACCAAATAACATTGAACCCAAATAAACTTCACTAGAGCTCCTGAGAGACCAAATGTGACATTTTGAGATTTGTCGACGAACTTGTAAAATTCACTTTGTTCTTGTTTGGTAGAAGTTATCCAAGACACTGTCAACATCAGCACGATAGTATTCAACTTACTGTGAGTGTCGCAGTTATCCACAGCGAATCATTTCTTTAAGTAAACATGCTCACACACTACTTAAATGCAGCAAACTCGAATGTCCTGAAGGTGGACCCGGCACCAGGTAAGATACAGCCAGACTTCCTCAGGAATTGTCCGCTCTTTTCCAAGAATCCATCTGTTTAAATAATTTTAATGCTAAATAAATTGCTATTTAGCACAATTTTTATCTTTTGACTCAATGCAGCCAGCAAATGCAGCCGCTAAAGATTTGAGCTCAGAAGTTCAAAATGCTTTCGTGAAGACGGAGCCTAAACCATTTTGTGTAAGATTAAGATTGCTGGGGAACCCATCAAAACCCAGACTTCTTACGTTTTTTCAAAGGAGGTCACAGAAAGGTTTACACCTGATCGCTTGTCCTAGAGCTTAAATACTCAACTCTACCTCCTAGAGATTAACTCAGAAATTTACAATCGCGCTTGATTGCCTATAATAAAATTTTTAAAAACCCTGAAAATATTTTTTTGTAAAGGTAGGGGAAATCTCTCGGACCGATTTTGTTTTGACGCCACGTTTAGCAGCCACTAAAATTTTACTCCGGCCTCACGCAACCTATGATCCGGTTTTGCTTTTTTTCCTCAACTATGGTGGTTGAGTGTGTTTAGAAAATTACACCTAAGAGAAATCGATGTACAGCTAATTTTTGCACAACTGAATTCTTCTGAAGTTCTTCACGATATTACTTAAAATTTATGCGTTTTATTCACGAATCAAAAGTTCCTCTTACATGGCCATCTCGAAATGTCGATGTCTCCTACTTGAGAATGCTCCCCACTTCGGCATTATTTATATTCTAGCACTAATAATAATGACGAAACGGACTGCCCGGGATCCCGCATTTGTGGGCCGCAGGTGGCATTTGGGACCATTTGTTAAAATACTTAAATCCCAAAACTGACAACTCCAAACAGGCAAAATTTTACACATCATCCATCACATCTATTAGTCTAATTGCTTTCTTGAGTCACTCTAGCATTAACCGAATCGATTCCCCTGCAATTAGTGACTAAATCATTAGGGGCTCCAGACACTTTCCACGTAAGACCGGTTCCGAAAACATCATTAATTAAAACATGAACGGGATAGGTTGCGCATCTTATCAGCAAAGCAAGCCATCAGTAACAACCCTAAACGGGCTTTAGTATGAAACAACTAACAAATGCCCCGAACAAAGGTCTATTCCTAGTCATCCAACAAATACTTGGATTTTAAAGCAAACCGCTGGCATGGGTTACACAACTAAAATAGTGTTTTATTTACCTCTGAGTACTGGTCATCAAGTTTGGCTGTTACCGGCTTACGTTCATGCTGATGCTACTAGCTACAAGGCAAGTGTGGGGGAAATTTATTCAAATCCGAATCATAATCTGCTGTTTGTGAACACAACAACCCACTGAGGCTGTGAGTGGGGTTAGATGCGGATTGGAGAAGGGACACCTGTTGTGGTGCGTGGCCTTATTCGAGGACACTCAGGCCTAATGGGTCGGCGGCATCAAACGCATTTCTGGTCACGTGATTCACCCAGGGTGGGTAAATCAGGTCGGATAAAAAAGTATTCGAAACTAAGTAAAAGCTTCCTTTAAATTTAATTTTTAATTCTCACTGTTCACTTTTCGGAGAATAAAAGAAATTATTTTCAAACTGTCAAAACAAATTGACATGTACCGAAGCTAATGAAAACCGGCAACTTTATGCGCTACCTAAAACGAGCAAGTAAAATGGGTATATTTTCTACAGTTTACAAGCTCTTTCTTTTGTATTTAATCTTAACCAACTGGTAATTGAGACCTACAGCATCTGGGACGAGGACGTGACGAGACGTTTTGGAAGTTTGGTTTCAGCTCGTGTTCCCCACTTACGTCTTGTGGCAGAATAGCACTACGAGTGTTTTGTCTTGACGCACCCCTTCTGATAATGAAGGAACAGTTTGCAGGCATGCATTTTACGATTTCGTTATGCCATAACAGTCCATTCTATGCAGGTGCTTTTCAGGTGCTACCACCATGTCACTGCTGTTGTGAATGCATAGCGCCAATTTGAGGGTCAAATTTGCTTTTTAAAGATTATTTTACTGACAATTATCAATTTGATTTTTCCCTTAGAGAACCTAACGCTAATGCGACTTCGCGTTCATCTACTAATCTCAGCGTCCGATTTACGAGAAACCCGATTTTGACCTGCAATTAGCTTTATAAAACAAATTAATGAGATAGTTGTTTGTGCTTTAGACAAATTTGCAGTGAAAATTTAACTAAAAGTTGGAGAAAGCACAATTTCTGCTATTTCTACAGAGTTTGAATTCACCAGAATAGTTTTGCCATGCGATCGCTCCATGAGATACACTTTTTCTTTAATGTTAGGGATAAGTTTGGACAAAAGATATTGAAAAGATTGCTGCCCAGTATTGTGTCGGATCTTTGAAAAGTACTAAAAATAGGTACAATAATAAAAAAATACTTCACTTCAGTTCCATACAGGTGGTACCAGAAAGGTCAGGACAACCAAAACTGCTCTTTTAAGTTACATTGGCTGAACAGAACACTGTTGACCAGCTGCAAAAAGTGGCCAATAAACAATTCAAAGTCAGATTATGATAAAGGTAATTTTGAAATCCGTGTTTGCGTTTTAGGACATATTCTTAGCCCGTGATGTGAAATGTTTCTTTCATTTTTTTCCCATTAAAGCTAAATTTAAAGTAGAAATCTTTTATCACACTTTTACTTTAAAACTCATGCATCGGTATCGAATAATCAATGCTTATGTATTGACAGCAATCATCTAAAAGGAATTACCTTGTCAACTTCTTGAACGCAGTTGCAGTTACCTTATCAGCTATTTGTTTATTGGTGGGATTTAGTTCCCTTGTATTGGCTTTTAGAAAAATGCAACCTATGGACTTATAAATTTATAAAAGGCGTTTCTCGATGCTCACACTAGTGGCAGTTGTCATTTTATTCTCGAATTTTATAACCCAAAAAAATAGTTAGGATTCACTTACTAGTAATTCTACACCCTGTCAAATCAATCTGTAGAGATATGACTTTCAAATCAGAAAACTTTGCATAAATCAAGTGAACACAATGAAACTATTAGTTTCAAGTGGTTTGGTAGTAAATCTACAAATTAAGGCAGTACCGACAGTGTTGACATACCGCAGACAATTCCGGCGCATTTTTAAAAGACCTATAGTTTCCCTTTACAATATCCCAAATATCATCCCCTAGCAACTATGTCTAGTAACGTCATGACTTCTGTAATAAATGCAAGCATGCCTGGATTTTATGTAAATTTTCCCTTATGGCTGAGTTTACGATTAACTTGGGCGAAACACCACCAATTCAGTGACCTCAACTGTCAGCCAATCAGATTTCCCCAGGCACACTATTGGCCGGATTGTGAGTAAAATTCATCCTCATGCCCTGAGTTGGTTTACACTTGTGTCTGCACATTCAGTAGACTTTATCCCCCAAGAGAGGAAATGCTTGAAGAAGTGGAGGATGACTTCGATCGGTTCTGTCGCATCGGCAGGGGTTCAAGCAGTGAATATTCGCCGAATCGTCCTGTTAGACTTGATTTGTTAGCAGCACCGACAGAAATTTCAAGGTACAGAGCCGGTAGTCTTCGTGAAACCCGGCACCGGCCACATCATCGAAATGATTCCTCCGCCACACGAGGAAGATTTTCAAGGACTACAACAGCAGATGACTTCAGCGTCCACCGTCACTCCACGTCTACTCTCAGAAGGCATTCGCTTGCCCCAAGCTTTCAAAACCTTCGACTTAGAGGCTCCCCACAATATCCTAGTGAAGATGTGTCAGACGATAGGTCCAGTTCAATTCGGGCACTCACACCAACAACGCAAATGTCTCCTCGTGCAAGAAACGGAAGCTCCGGGGGTGTTATTCCTCCTCCAATCAACGTTTACCACGATATTGATTCTTCTGAACACAGCGGTTTAAACATAGTTCGAGTACGTTCGTTTAGACGGACCAAAGAAGGAGTTGTGAGTGAGGGTGACAGGGATGTTTCCGTAGCGGAGGAACTAGATATGCGACGCAAGCTTTCGCAGGAGCTCTCTTCCCCTTCCAGGCGAATGAGCAAATCGAGGAGTTCGAAGATTTCTCCTGGGGAACTAAAGTTATCTGATAGATGTGAGGCTGCTAGGTCAATACGGAAACTATCTTTCAGTGGGGGTGGAGGAGGTTCGTGGAGCAACAATCCAGCTTCAGACCATTCTGACGAAGATAGCGTTCAAACAGCAGGGCTAGGAAATGTGTCCCAACCCTACACCGTCCAAGTGCTTGGGGCCGAGCAAGTTGGAAAGACAACTATGTGCACACAATTCTTAACTTCGGAGTCTCTGTACGATGGCTTTGATTCAGGTAGATCACTCGCTTAAAACTCAGTAACTAGACCCTTAAATCTGCGTCTACTGGTGCTGTTGATCATAAACCTACAGTAATGTAGGTTTCTGTAAGCAAATCATGTCATAATTTCGACAAAAGGCGTTTGCAAACTAAATGGGTCTAAACTCAATTTGACAAAAAGTGTTCATCATTATATGTTAATTTGCATGCAGAGAGAAGACAAATTTTGTTATCTTAAATGAACACTCGCCGCACTGAGCTATAACCAGCATTGTTGTCATCGCATTTTAACTGTTTTGCACGGACTTTTAAAGACCGCTGTTTTAATATCTGCAAATGTTGTTTACCAAAACAAAGTTTCTGCGTGGCGCCACCTTGTCTTTCCTTCTGAAGTTAAAAAAATGAATAATCAAAATAAATTTTACCTTTTTGCAAAATTTGCGTAAATGCCATTAATCCTGCCCTGTGATAATATCTACAATATTTGGCGTTGGTAATTGTGTTTAAAATATTGCAGTAAATCTCATCAAACTGGCCAGCTTCGTGAAATTCATGCCTTCCTTTCTGATGCCAACGTCCTTCATTCAAAACCTTCCACAGATCCTATTCACTGGATTAGATAATACCTTATTGGGTCTTTTTCACGAGCGGTGGTGTTGGTTTGAATGATATCTCAAGTTAGTTTGTTGTAAGTTGCCAGTATATTGTACATTCGCCAATAGTAGTTTCATTAAGCCTGACCACCTCTTTGTATTTCGAAATTTTTATGCCATGCTCTAATAAACCGTTAACCCCGATTTGCATAATAATCTTGAGTTATCTCCTCAGAGGAAACACATAAATGTCTAATCACTACAAGCCGGTGGCTGCTTGACACAAGTTGTCATCCCTAAGATTTATTTACTTTTTGTTTTTAAAGGAAACAAACTAAAACCCGTGAAACTATGCAGCTTTTAGTTTAACAGGAACTTCAACTTCTGCAAGCAGTTGTGGCATGTTGAAAAGGACCGAATGTTTGGTGTTACCGCAACAACAAAAATTAATCTATGCGTAAATTCTCTTTACGTTTCAAGCAGATTCGCACTGTTTTAGTTTTAAAAATCGTAAACAACTGTCTCGTTGTAAGTGAACACGCAAGTTTGCGTCCCTAACCTAGTGGCTAGCTAAGTTTTAAAGTCGTTTTTTTAAAGGCGATAATTTTTTATAGTTTACTAACCTAGGTTGCCGCATAGTTCGTAGGTAATCTGACTACCTTATAGCATTTGCACTGTTGCCTTGACCAGGGTGGACGCGAAAGCATTAGTTAATGCATGATTGTCATTAAAATTAATAGCATTCGACGTTTGCGCAATATTTGGATAATTAGGAGACACCTTCTTACGCGACCAGCCCTCGGCTTTCAAACAGCATAGTGTGCAGCTGCGAGCTGGAATTAGGGCCGAAACGCGTAAGATCTCGCTACTTGGGATAGTTTTCGTTGAATTGTGGCTTAGCATACATGGAGACATCTGTTTTCTTCTGCAAAAACCAGTTCCAGCTGAATCTTTGTGGGTCGACGGCTATTTTAAAATATAAGTCGGCTTTTTGGGCCTCGATAGCAACTCACTGATTCCCGCCGAACGTTATTCTTACAAAACCCATGATCTAAGCAAGTACGCTGAGGCATCGTAACATTTTGCAAGAAGTCGCTCTTCATAATAATGTAATGGAAGTTTTCTCTTCGGGGTTGTGCTGACGATTTTCATATTACGTCTCACTAAGCAAAACTGCCGCTGCTGATTGTGTTTAAATGAATAAATAAATAAAGACGTACAAAATTACAGGGCTAAGTGGACAGTCCACCATTTGTGAACAGATCAGAAGTTAGATTTAAATTTTTGAATTGGCTTTGAGGTCACCTGCAAGTGGGGGAATTCACGATCCATTCTTAACATAAACCAAAATGTTCCTCCTCTAAGACAGTGTTGAATCGTTCTTTAAAACGTCCTCGTCCCATTATTAATAGCTTTTTTGTTAACCTTTATTAATGCTCAAGTATCATAGCATTTGAAAATTTATAACCTTTTAATGGCATTTGAAAAAAATTGAAGCAAAATAACCGCCTTCTACTACGTCGGTGGTAATATCACGCCTAGCCTTTAATTATGCACTAAATTTCAGGCCCAGTTCATATTATCCATTTTAATCTACGCTCGAAATAAAATGCTTTAAGTTCAACAATTCTATCGCCTCCTCTTACAACTTCAGAATCTGGTGTGAACTTATTGGGTAATCGCAGCATAATCGGTCCCTATACATTTTTATGCATTTTTCTTGGCCCTAAAATTGCTACGCCAGTCAGAAATATGCATACATGGCGCTCACTTGAATTTGATAGCCTTGTTAAACATTACAAGGCCTCGAGTCTTCTTAAGAGGCAGCTGTTAACAGCTTGAAACGATTAACCGTCTTTAACAAACCTTACTTCCAGACTTTAAAGACTGATTTCGCGACATTAAGTGAATGTGTACCAATTTAACGTGTTTCATTTAGTCTTTAGTATGATTATTTATAGTGTCACTTGTGAAAGGAATTCACTCAGTATACCAGTCTATGACATTTTGATTTGTAATAATTTTCCGCATGGTTAAATAGGACATTAACTAGATTTATCTAATTCTGTTGTAAAGCAGATTAGTTTTCACGATTATTGTAATATGACGTCCGTTATTAACTACCATCCAGTGTACATAAATTTTCACTCACGTTTAATTAAGTGTGAGGCACAAGCTTGCAATTCAAAAGTTGCCATTTCACCGAGAGTTGTCTAAGGATTTACAAGTGAGGATGAGTCTAACCTGGCTTCATTACCAGGTCTACAAGTTAGCTAAATTTGCATCATTTGCAAGTCCATGGTTTCGAAAAAACGAAATTTTAGAATTTTCATGAGATATCCAATTGAAGGCACATTCATATTTAGCTGATTCTGCAAGTACTGAAAACGTAATTTAATCATAACGGTAGATCGCAAATTATGGGACTACTTATCTTGAGCTAAACATGATCCAATTTTTAATGGATTTTTCGGTGTCCTAGTTATCTGCCGAATTTCGAAGGCTTCAACCTTTCATTCCAGTGTTGTAAAGTCGTCTTTGTAAAACAACTATTAAACACTAATTCTGCTAATGTTTTGCTATTCAAAGAAAGATAGCACAGGCGCGCTTGTAACAACAGTACCGTGCCTTGTTGATGGCATTAGTTAATAGAGAATTTAGGAAGAGGGTGAAAGCTCAGTCTAACTTTGGGTAGACTTGGCAAACTGGAACTGAAATTTCGGGCAGATTTTATCTTTATTCTCCTGTTATAAGCAGCTTTTTAACTTACAAAATGTCCTCTTTTTTATTATTCCATCAAGTTGTGTCTTTTTCACAATAACTAGATTTATTCTATTAAACACGTGTTCAGCACTTTCATCCTACCCTATGAAAATAGGTGTCAATTTTTACGACGCCTAATTACCGACAATGAGAAGTGGATGTTCGACAAGCTTAGTGAAATGAAACACTCGTGTGATTAGTTGAGATAACCCGCATTAATGCCATCTACAGAGGCCTACGTCCAAGGAGTTAGCTCTATAATATGTGATTTGACTATCATGTATATACAGACCTGTAGTAGCAGAATCGAAGACTTTTGCATCACATTATATATAAAAAAACTAAAACGGCCACAAAGCTAATTACTATCTCGTGTTTCACCACTACTTCCACCGCCGGGCATTGGTAAGCCCCTAATGTAATTAGTATTACAATGGTTTATTAGCATCGTATTGCCTTGCAAAAGGATTAAAGAGCTGCTTCTTAATCTATTGTGAAAACGCGATGTGCTTGGGTCACGCAAGCGAATGTTGTTCATATCAGGCAGCATTTTTGAGCTGAAACTTGCATAACGTGAGAGTACTTTTTACGATTGCCCATCGAAGTTCAAAGACATTTGTTATGCGTCCAACCTTCTTAATCCATGGTCTCAAATAATCTACCTAGGTAAGCCATTGTGGCACACTTTATACGCTTTTTCAAATACATTGTTGGCTGTTTTGATGGCGCGAATTGCGGCCGAACAGAGATGTCGCTTCTGAAACTCATTGCTTAGGATGAAATAGAAGGGCGTGCAAATGCATGGAAAATATGTCCCCATGAATGAGTTCAGTTTTAATACAAAACGGATTTTGCCACCTTTTACATCCGTAATGTAGTAATTGTGGAAGAACCGAGCATTCCGGATGACTCGGTCATTGCATTATTCAACAATGATTATACCAGAGAGCCACTTATTAATGCTCCTTTGGAAGATCTCTGAGGTTGCCATTATACTAGTCGAAAGTTTGCGGACCGTTTATATCTTAGCTTCAAAATCTACACCAATGTGGGTTTGACTGACATTGCCTGGTTTTGGTCTACGCCATGGTGCATATTCAAATTAGGAACTAACTTGGAGCAAAAATTCAACTTATACAAAATACTAACAAATCAGGTAGTCAAAATATTCTTCGTTCAAATTGCTTAATTCGTAGGCATTCTGTTATGTCATTATTTAAGCGAACGACTATGAAACACGAGTCAAACAGAGGACAACTGGAATAAATTTACGGAAAGACGACCACGTTTTTCAGTGCATCCTAAATTTCTGTGTAAAAAGAGTAGTAGGCAAGTTAGAACAAATCTTCTTTATGTTTGTGCCGTCCCGTTTACCATCAATACACCAAATTCCTAAATATTCCTTTAGTTTCTTTCAGCGCACACTGAATTCTTATCGTGCACCATAGAGTGGCATCGTCCAGAATTTGCTGATGGAAAATTTTGAGAAATCTTCGCACGAAAGTTAAAATCATCCTCATTAATTGATTGGAGCAAATGGTCACAGTTGGCATCGTGTAACATTTTACAATTGATCTTTGAGAGACGCCATGTCCTTTAAAGCTGGTCTTGTGGGTTACTTAGGGTCTGACGGTAAAAGCAGCTACAACAATGTGACTATTTTGAAGTTGCAAATAAACTTTGGAGTTCCATGTGTCACTATATTTCTGCACAAACCTGTTAACTTAAAAAGATGAAGTCCAGCTGTCGTGACTGTGTTTTTACCGTTCAATCGATTTTTTTCCAAAACCCCCAGTGCCTCATACTTATAGACCGATTTTCATGCATTTTAATTGTTACAGTTGTTAATTATTTTTCTCTGTTATTTCTGAAGCCCGATTTTCCACTTAAAACATTGAAGGGCAAGTGAGTCAAACTGGCACCGGTAGGATGTGTCCTAATCATTTATTTCGATTAGAAGTAGCAGCCTTTTAAGTGTCTATTAGTGGACTTAAGAATAAGTTAAAACTTGCCCTACCGTTTTTTTGACTGAGGAGAAACCCCAACTTTTAAGTGGTATACAGCACTTGTGATCCTTTACAACCAATCTTACTCCTTCACTTAGTTGTCGGAGAAGCGGAACAAAACAAATTTACACCAGTAGTTCAGCCTCTTCTGTTGGCTTTAAATTATGTTTACGTGCGCAATAACTACTAAAGTCGGTATGTGAACGAAGTGTTAAACTGTACCTGTGACTTCAATTATATCTCAATGTAGGCCGTACAAAGAAGCGATCTCTCATGGTATGTAGGTTTAGATATTTGTTGCGAAAAATTTAATAAAATGCAGTGTAGTTTAATAAACAACATAACTGAGGTGTTAACTATGTGTGTGTTGGGTTTTGAGAAGCGAATTGTCGTGTGCAAGGTCGCGAGTTATTTGCAAGGGAACCTAATTACTGCTCTGGCACTAATTTTCTTATAACTATAATTTCTATTCCCCGAATTAATTCGCAACCATTCAAGTCCTCAGGTGTAATGGGCAGTTGGTCTTGGAGCAGGAGTGCAGTAAGACTGAGAGCCCATATACTAGGTCTAAATCAAACTAGTTTTTGTAATTTTCCCGAAAATGCGCTTTTTACATAATTGCGGTAAATTGTAAGCATTGAATGGAAATAGTAGAACCTATTCTACCCTAACAAGGGTTCCAAAAAGAAAGTTGGTTGGGTGTTTGTTTAACACTGAAGCTGCAAGTGCTGAATTTGCATGATAGATATAGCTGTTAGGAGTTGGTGGAAATAGAACAATGAGAGGTAACAAGGATTAATCACTACTCTTGTTAAGCAAATTACATAAAAGGACTTTCGACGCAAATCATTGATTTTTCCTCGCTTAAGGTAACTGTCCTAGTTACAAAACACCAGCAGCAGAAGACAGTGTTAGTGTTTACTTCCTGTTACTAAACTACTAGTTTTCTGACTTTCTGTACCTCCGCTTTCAGCACGCTTGCAGAAAACGAGATGCATACTTTCGTTTGCATTAGAATGAGGTAAAAACATTATAAAAGCCACTTATGACTATTTGTTTTCCCTCTTCTGCTTAATTTTCAAAAAATTCAAAAAAAAATTTATTTACTTCTGATTCTCTGTTTTTCCCTTTTAGCTGACGAAGGAAACGTTTTGGAGACAGTAACGGTTGATGTTGATGGACAACAAACAAGTCTCCTTCTAATAGATAGCAACGGCAATGAGGAAACAGAATTTTCTGTAAGTTGTTTTTGCCGGTTTGATTAATTACCCTCCTTTCTTCTAATCAGGTAAATGTTTAGCCATTTTCATTAATTATTTTCAACCCAGTTCCTGGACTATTAATTAAAAGTAAAGCACGAATAAAAATTAGTGTTACGTTTCAATAGAAAAGCTGCTTATGGGTCGTACCCTGGCCCTTAAATTAAATTGAGAAAACGTAACCTGGGTTGAGAATGCACATGACCTACCAATTTACACTCAACGTGGCTTGTGGTTTGGATAGTGTGTGTTAGTGCTTTGATACCGCCCAACCCTCCACAGGACTGAACAGTAAAAGCGTGGTAAAGCGATAGCAAAGTTATTGCGCGAACTAAACCGCCATTCAAATGCCGTAAAAGTCCAACTGTATAATTAAATGGGCAGTTGCTTTTGAATTTTTAAACGCGACTTCACCATTAATAAATGTTAGTCTATCCAGACAAATAATTGCAGTTATTCTGTGATGTTGTTCAAAATAACGAAACGGCGCACATTTAGGCTCATTAAATCACTTCCGACCTCGCTCAAAGCAAGGAAGACAGACTCTACGATATCTTGTCTTTTTGGAGTCTTCAAAAAAAATAATCTCAAAGTGTCAGTCGGTTTAATTCTTAGTCACAACTGAGCTGTTTCTTGCTAAATGCTATTAAGCATGTATTGAGTTCTTTATATTCGTGAATTTGTGAAAACATTGAACTATGATCTCCTTTATATTGCCAATTCCCGGATTCCTTAATTTGTGTAAAACGAAATCACCATAAAAGAATTTTTAAATTTTATATTGGTGCTTAGCAATCAGCCGCTTCATTTGTAACCCAAGTCCAGAGTCTTTTAATACTAGAATGCTTAACCCAGTCATAAATCACTCCAAGTTTAATGCATTATTTCGGTGAGACATTACCACCAATTATCACCTTGCCTCTAAGGCAAATATTCATTTCAACTTCAAGTGCAATTGGAGATTCGAGAAGCTACTCACTGTGGTCAAGCTGCCTGCCCTAATCAACGGTGTGATCGATAGCTCACACAATAAAGGTCAATTATTATCGCCTTTAGAACCTGTATATTCGAGATTGGGCACACACACACACGCATTAATACCATGTGATCTTGAGCTTACATGTCAGCTGGCACCATGTCAAAATCTTTGGCTACAGAGTTAAATAAATAAGAAGTAAAGCTAATTCTTTATTAGAAGGATTAAAGACAGTCTCTGTTGAAGGATTTCATTGTCATTTAAGTTGTCCAAAATCAGAATATTTGCTTGGTGTTCAGCTAGGTGGGTGGTATTCTGTGAGTGGTCAACTTTAGTTAGGTCAAAAACATTTGAGGCGATCAACAACATTCTACAGATCTAAGATTTCCCCTAACTAAATTTTCTGATTGCTGTTCGAGAAGCCAAATGTAAGCTCTTTTGTCTTGTTTGTGAAAGCGCATAACTATCTGCTAATCAAAGCCACATTTTGATGCATTTGACATCATAAGAACCATGATGATGTGGATAATGCGGAAGTGGTTACCGTAATGAGACTAGTTTCAGAAATTAATTGCTACCTGCTTGGTCTATTATTAACCGATGGGAACGGGGTAACTAGAAGAATCCCTAGTAGCACCCGCAAGATTATTAGAAGAAATGGATTGTTGTTCAGAGTAATTGTTTTAGAAACCCAATGACATCTTTGTTGTCGCCGTTGACACTTGGACGGGTTTGTCATAAGGCATTCTGAGCGAGTCAAATCAAAGATGTGTGTCAACAAGCCCGCGTAAACACAACCGATGATAGAAGCAGGAAAAAATCATTCCTGCCTTATTGTACCTTCTCACTGTTATTTTTTACAACTTACTTAATTCAAGCTTAAAGAGCCTTCTTTTTAGCACTGAATGGCTTACTTTGTTATGGTAATTCGCCAGTTCACCGAAACGTGTTCCTAGTGCAGGTTCATTTCTCGTAGTCTAGCCAGCTTTTAAATGCTCCAACTTGTGTACATGAATTCGACAAACCGAAATTCGTCTTTCACTGAAAATTGGACCCTGTGTTTGATGGCGACCCTACTCCGAAAGTTTTAAATTTTGTTATACACTTGAGAATACAAGTTCCCCACTCAAAGGACCCCAATCAACGTTCATTTTTATTTCCCAACACACTTTGTTGCTGGTTAAGTGACCAGTCAGGAGACCCACCCGGTTTCATCCTTTTGGTATCTTCCTGACCTCTCTTGAGTCCACTGTTTAATGGATCGCGCTTGCACTTTAATCTACAGCCATGAACTAACACTAGAATAAAAATACATTTTTAAATGTAAGGAGTTCCCTCATATTTCTTATGCTTTTTGAATGAACGTTTGCATGATCACACTGAATGAATTTCTGACAATGCTTTTTCCTACTCTTACACCTATTTACTTGTAATTGTATAGCTTAGAACTTTATTTCCTCCATGCACACAAAATGGGCAAATTGTAGATACGAAACGAATAAAGCGGAGATGACAGGTGTTAATGAACTGGTTCGTTCTGCAGACTGAAGTTTGCCTCGACAAATTATTCGAATGGTCCATAATCTGTCCACAGGCACGTGGCTTTCAAAACTCAGCAGTACATGTTGTAATCCAAGACGAAATCTTCGCTGGGCTTAATCTTTGTGAGCTTTTGGTGGCCACTTCATTCCACCATGTCATTTGTGAATAGCAAATGTTAAAGCCTTCTGCTGGTTCAAAGATTGTTGTCTTTTGTGTGCGCATTTTCGCTACACAGAGCGGAAGTAATTTCAACCATCTGTCTCGAACACAAATGACAAAGTCCACATGTCCGTAAAAGTGCATTTAATCGCGTATGACTTGTTTATTTGGTGTTCGGCTACTTTATAACTCATTTGACTACAATTTATGCTAATGAACAGGAATTTGGTAGGTTGTAGTAGGCAAAATAACTTGTTCGGTGCTTAAGCCAGTTGTAAGTTCTACTATTTATGCAAATATACCGTTGAAAACAAGTGGCAAGGTATAAATTGCTGCGCTCAAAAGAGAAATTTGAGCAGTACTAACGTGAGCAACATTAAGTGTGTTTAAATACCACTTGAACACTAGAAATCGAGTTTTATTACTAATTGTAATAAACAGGTACACGTATACCACATCCGGCAGTTACGCTTTTGTAATTTTCTGTGAACTGCGTAATTGACGCTTTACATAGACAGCCTTATTTGCCTATATACTTAAAAATGCACTTTTTCTGGACGTTGACATTTACAATCTCGTGGTAGATGATAGACTAAATGTTTAGGCTAGCACTTACAATGTACAACTGCACAAAGCACTTTGATATACTCGGATACTTTTAAACCATTTTTCACACTATTTGTTAACGACATTCATGGACCTAGTTTACCTTACAATAAACAATAAATGTTTGTTCCCTTCGCCGTGAATTTTTTGTCAGCTCATAATGTTAATGATACTCAGCTAATAGCATCGTATGTTGCGGTTTAATGGCGCATTTATACAAAGCCCCGAACATAAATAATCGAACATCTTGTCTAGCAGAACGGACAGGTCAAGATTTCATGTAGGGGGATTTTGCAGTTTTAGCCAAAAGTCAGAAGACCGCAATCCAAAGTTGTTCACCCTTTCCGATTCGCCAACTTGCATATCCATAGTAATCTCAGTGTTATAGTGATTAAGCTGTCTTGGGAAGGTTGATATCGTAAACACCGTGCATATCTCTTAGCAGTTTTACAAACATTTTTAAACCTTAGTTTCTTCCCCATGATTCGGTAAGAGTTAAGTACATTTAATTGATATAGATCTTCATACATAAATTTGTCTGCGCAGCAAATACAAGCCTTACATTTTTATTCAAAGGAAATCTGCAGACCCTTAAATAAGTAGATACAACTGATTTGATTTTGTTTCTGTTACATTTTTTCTTAGTTTTGGGCATTCTTTAACATAGGTTATCGATTCCGCTGATGCCTATCTGGTGGTGTATGCGATCGATGATCGCGAGTCCTTCAAAAAAGCCCAGACGATTATCTCAGAGATTCTCGGACGCTGTAAAATTGCCAGCGCCATCGTCTTGGTTGGGAATAAGTCAGACCTGGTGAGAGCACGCAGCGTGTCTCTTGATGGTGAGTCGCGCGTTTTAGCTTTTCCTACGTAAAGCCGAGCAGTTTCAGACCATGTAGGTACTACGTTTTAGTTTTACACTTTTCACTTAAAAAAATACCGATATAATCTTCAACCTTTCCCTTTTTCCCTCATTTCTTTACACTCTACTCCTTCACATGCCTTTCGATTTGGCTTATCTTTGGTGCATTTAAAATATAAAGAACCAGGTAATACGTTAGCCTTGGATAGAATCACATGGTAAAACTTGGTCTTAACGACAGGTGTAAATGAGACCCAGGAAATTCGCAACCATACAGGCTTACAACAACTGGCTTAAAAGCTCTACAGCCAAGTCAACGGAAGCGATGTACTTAAATTAAGGGCTTTCGGTAAATCATTTGTTTCTTATAATACGATGTTCCATCTCCCAAAATCTTTTCAGGCACTTAAGAGTCTCTACGATTAACCTCAAGCTGGAGAACATGTACACTTAATTGCATCGATTCCGATAAACCGAATATGGTGTATTTGCTGGTTACAGCAGATAAAAGAATCCTTTTGTCTTGTCCGAGATCATCAGCTCAGCTGGTATCCTTTCGTAACTGACTATGTTAGGCCGCGTTTTCTTTATCAGAAAACCCGAAAGTTGTACAGCTCCGCTCCTAATAACCTTGAGGACCGTGTCTATAACATTTACCTTAAAATATTTGTTTAGTCTACTTTGTCGACAAGACATGATGACATCTAACTCTCTGTGGACTGAGGAACGCTTTAAAAACGTCAAAACAACGGTCTGAATTCTATTTTAAGTTTTCCAAACTCGTAAATATGTACCGAATTATTCATGAGACAGTCAGGTGAAGGTATAAAATGCTGTGAGTGTCCAGGGTGGAATGTACAGTCAGAAGAAATAATATTTTTCTACTTAAGCCTATTCATATTTTTTTCCATTGCCAGCTGCCAATTTTACTTTGAGGACTGAGGTTACCTAATTATAATCGGACATATTCAAGCTTACGGCTCAAAGGTTTAATATTTTTTACGTTAAATTGGGTTTTACGCCCTACAGCAATCGGTAGTGTGAACTGTCTCATAACGACAGAGCAAATCGGTCCAGTAATTGACAACAGGAACTCTCGGATGATCGGTTTGTTGAGAATGCAATTTTTGTTGAAGGAAAATCTGGTCATGGGTCATGAGCCTCCCAGTTCATACGCAGCTGTCGTGACCTTTCGGGCACCAAAGAGAATGTATGGAATGCAGCAGGGAAATTTTTGGTTCTAAAGCTTCAGTGAAACTCATGGAATTTTGGATATTTGGTGGACTTTCATGAAAAACTTCAAGGATTAACGAGGTGGTGTTACATCCGCAAGGTGCTAACCTGTTAGACTTGTTCTAAGGAAGCGGTCTGTTAGACAAGGCAAACCTGTGTCATCCTTGAACTGATTCTATGCCTATTCGTCTTAGAACCCCAAGACCTACAATTTCATTCTAGAAGGCTTATTTGAGCGTGTAAAAGTATAGTTTATCAGGGCAGGATGTCTCAGCAGTCTCCAAAAGGTAGTTTTGGTCATTCAAAATGGGCCCCTGTGTATGCTTCATGGTTACTTAAAGGCAGCTTCAGATATATCCCTAGTACGTTGCAATACTACATCCTCTTGGGTAATTATGCGTACTTTTCTTTATCGTAGTTTAGTTGCTCCAGGACTACGAAACTGGGCACGTGCCAGAATATCACGGTGGTCTCATTCAAATAGCCCGAAAAGTTATGGCAAATAAACCTTCTGGTTGGATGGAATGATGTTTTCATCCTACGCTAGTTTTTTTTATTATTTGCTGTTTGCTTGTGCTTTATGCGCAAATGAACGTTAACAAATGGCACAGTTTATGCATGACGCGAACTCATTTGCCAATTTCTCCTCACAATATCAAATTATCTACAGCTTTAAAGCAAACAAACAAGACCAAAAATGTCAGAAAGTAAGATTCGAGCAACAATACTAGTCCTAGCAGTCATTTCTACTATGCCGTAAATATGTCTAATCTTAGATTCAAATATGCTTTGGTGGAAATACACCCCAGTTTTATAAATATAGGTAAGTCGTTAAGCCCATTTTTAATCTAACTTATTTGGTCGTTATTCGCGTGTCATTGAATACTTGAGAGAAAACCAACTATAACTATTCACTGCATGGCAGAACTCTCACTTTCGTTATCTAATTGACGGTTGAGCAAGCTAATAAAAATTAACCTAATCGAGCTGACATCCACTTCCTGCTACCATTGGAATGCTGCAGCTTGTGTGCAAATCTAACTTAATTTCAACGAATGGCATGAATGCACAAAATACTGCATCAACCCAAGTCATCAAAATGCATAGTACATTCTCGATTTAATTAGACACCTGAATTATGTGGGAAATTTTGACAAAACTACCTTTTTGTTAGTGTTCCTATGGGATTCTTGTATGATTAACATTAGCCAGGCTAATGTTTACGTGATTAAAATTGGGCGCATGAACGTTGATTGCGGCGTTTTTCCAGGTATGCTGCAATATCGCTCTCTTATTTAGGAGGATTACGCTGGACTTATAAATCTGCCTAGCTTTAGGACATCGGACCGCATTGTTTTAGAATTCACCAAGGTCGTAAGCAGCTCCCTGCTGTTTGTAATGAACCCTCTCTGAGACTTTACAGTTCAAATGAACCTTTTTGGGAGCATTTAGTTCGCGAGGTGTGTACATAATTTAATGGTGGTAAATATATCGATGAGGATGAACAAATTTAAGCCATTTCTTGCAAAAAGATTGGCGGGTTTTGATAAATTTTTTTAATACGTGGCTAATGTAAAAATTTGAGCTCAGTTCGGACGCTATGAGAAAACTTCGGTAAGCTAGTTCGAGTATCTCACTGGGAGAAACAGGACATGTGACCACAATATCGCTCAAGGATTCCGATCCATTCGCGTGCAGACAGACTCCTAGCCACCTTAGTCGTGTTTTTTTTTCAGTTCCACTAGTCATTAGACTGTGAGATATTCTTCGTGGTGGCTTGAGAACTCTCAGCTTGTTTTGTTGACTTTTGAACAAGAGCCTGGCTGCTGTCATTTATTTCAGCTCGCCTGACGTCAGTCCAATGCAACAGATGCCCAAAGTCGGGCTCTAATTTGTGATGGTATCTTATTTAGGATAAAATATGTTGTAATGTTTATCTGATCGCGCAGACCCTTCAGTTTTGTGCTTCATTCGCCAGTGCACGACTTTTGTAAGCAGGTAAAAGCTTAAAACAATGTTCATGCAAAGTAAATTAACAGCACTTTCAATATGCCCTGGCTTCAGTTTTGTTCTTTTGATCGTTATAAATTTCCTGAACGACTCCTTGATTTTCGGTCAAGTGAAAGAGGCCTTCTTCTGAAGGTCAGTTTAGTGTCAAGTCACTTGCATTCAATTTAATCATTGGACATCCCCGAAAAGTATGCAGATGCTTTGCTTGCTGCCCCTCTCTAAAGTGTGATTGCACCTCATTTGTAGAAGGAAAACATTTGGCATCGGTCTACTCGTGTGGTTTCTACGAGGTTTCCATTGCGCTGAATCATCAAGTAAATGAACTCCTGGTAGGCCTGGTCTGGGCCATAAAAGCGGCCAATCAGCACGTGGAGGAGGAACGCGAACGTCTCAGCAGGATAGCCAGCATAAAGACAGACGCTGGGGACGGTTCTTCCTCGCATGAAAGGACTTCTTCTTTGAAGAACAAGATTCCTTTTCCACGCCACCACTCAGGCATGGGGAAGGCAATTAAACGCTTCTTCAAAAAACACTTTTCTGTCAATGGTGTTTGAAGCTGAAATTTGTGTACATGTCTTCTCACATTACTGTCATTCATACATCGAACCGAAGTAATGTATTTGGGCTTTCAATATCCCACAATACGGGAAAATACTAAGTTTTTGCCCATTAAACTCTCAACTTAACGGTTTGCGCTGATTAACTTCAAGTCGAGTGCTGTTCTTTTGATTCATGCACAAAAATGTTAATTGGATGAACAGGTAATTATTGCACCGTAAGTTACTCTCCATTGACCCTGACACTTACAACTTAAAAGATGTGTGAATCCTCGTTTTTTTTATCAATCAGCTTACTGTGGCAAGCATGGAAGGTAGTGACGATTATGTGGCACAGTCTTATCATCCATCTAGGCTAGGGCAATTTATTTGTTGAGCACGGCTTTGCGCACGAGCAACGCAGGGGCCTGCCGAAGATTTGTGGCGACGCTAACATTCGATGCATGCGTGACACTAACACGCCGTTTTTATGTCCAGGACACCAGATAATTTGAATAGAGACCACAGATTGGGAAAGCTTTTAGATAGAAATCACGGTGCTTGGTCTTGACCAGGGGCTATTGAAATGATGAAGCCAGTTTACGCCGCAGTAGATGAGGTTTTGTATATTGCGACCTTCGTTTTAAATTACGACCTTGATCTCTACTTGCAACGAATTAACGTTATTTTAAAACTGCGACATTAGAAAAATGACACAGAGTTTATGCTTTTTAAAATTAGATTAAGCTGAAGTGCTAAAACCATTTACAAGAAATGACGTGTGTATAAAATGTTTGGGGTATTCCAGTAATTAAAATTGTTTTACACGACAAGCCAATTTATCAGCAGTCACATTGCATAGCTTACGGAAGCATATGTTCGTTAGCTTTCTACTGCAGTCCTAATTTTCGAATCTGATTTGCGCATCCTTCTGTGTTGAACCGAGCCCAACATGGAGGCACACAATTTATTGTTCTTTTCCTTGAACGAATTGCTATACCTTGTTTATTTATTTTGGGCATGAGGTTAAGGCGACGTCAGTCCTCCTAAATATCTCAATCAACCTTTGGTTTTGGAAGTAGGAATAAAATGATTGCTGAATTTCGTCACTTGCTATTTAAAAATCAGCAGATAATTTAAGCGGCATGTTGATCAAACATTCCCTTCTCTGCGTTGACGGAAATAACCTTTTAATCAAGTTTTTAATTTTTTTGAAATGCAAGGTTACCTACATAAACTTCCTCATTGGTAATTACACACACCTATTTTCACCCCAAATGCTAATTTAAAAAGTCCTGATTGGTTCTCTGTGGGGCAGAAGATGATAATCAAATCCAAAACTCCAAAATTGGGATCCTGATCTTTCGAACACTAAATGTGATGGGTAGCGTAGAATCAAGCATAAAATAAGCAATGTTTGCCAATTGAGTTTATGTAATTAAGTAACAAAATAGTAGTAGGTTAAGGAGAATGTTCATATCCTATTGTTATTTTGCATCATTCTGGATTCTAGTTTTGGGAGCCGCTATTACGCTCAGTCATTCTGTTAACCCAACAGTTCCCAAGTTACTCGAGAATAATAAAAAGTGCTTTTAAGACATGCAACATTTTTAAGTGATTCCAATAAAGAATAACCTGAGGACGGTGTGTTAAAATCTGCGTGAGACGTTTAATTTGGATGCAACAAATAATGCGCTTATCATAAATAGTTCAGACGATTTCGTTTAGACGAAATTTTGATAAATGAGGACACCTACTTGAGGTACTCGATCCAAATAGGACGTCAGTAGTGTTTGAGAAACTAATGTGCGACATTCAACTTTGGTTTAAATTGGTGAGACACGATGCAACACGAAGTATCCAAGTTTAAAATTAGATGAGTGACAAGAGAGAGAGAAAGGGATTCGACGGTTTTTAAGATGACTTGACCAAGTTTTGTGTGTGGCGCCGCTGTACATGTCTGACTAATGTGGGTTCTCGATCAATACAGTCTGTCCGATGCCTCCTTTGACATTAATGTTCCATCAATCAAACAGCCTATATGTAATAAATTTTAATAATTAAGTCAGTAGAAATCAGGAGTATTTATTGTTCAATAATTCGGTCTGAAAAAAATGCTGTAATATTCTACGAGAGTATTTTTAAGGAACTAAGGAGGGGCGCATCCCAAAACAGGTAATTATTGCTTTCCTTTTGGGGTCGCAAATGATTGCTGCATTCCGTGCTAGTCTAAATTAATAAATTTGGACGTCGAAAGCAATAGTACTCAATTGTGGAACCAATAGGTATGCTTTAGTTTTTATTAGCTCTAATGCCTGGCTGTATATTGCGTCACCAGCATTAGAGACACTGAACAACCTTAATTGCACTACTCCACCTTGTCACCCCTGATCCACGAACCTTGCACTTTAGCAGGTTCCTCCTGAACTTGGCTGATGGCAAGAACTTCAATTAGCACAATGGTATTTGCTTTGGAGTAGATCGGGTCTTCAAACCCACTCAAAGACAAAACTTTTCTGCAGACTGAAATTAATCGATAATAAACAACAGGTTCCAAATAAAGGGTAGAAATTTATAAACACGTCATTATTCGTATAAAAAGCTTCAGTGGAACATGTCCTTACACGTAACAGGAGCTTGTCCCTTTTCATAGAAAACAATGGGTTCTGTTTACCTAGTGAGTCTGGGAACGCAAATGATTTGATGTCAAATCTCTAAAGCATTCACTTGCCAGGGCCAATTATGATCTCAAAGCAAACAACCGAAGGAAAGGTTTTATTGAAATTGGCTGCGTCTTGCTAGAAAGAGCACAAGCTTACTCGACTATTTAAAATTTGGAAATCTCCTTTTGGAGGCCCTTGGACAAGCAAAGTTGGTGCTTGGTGCTAGTGCGATTCAAAAATCCTATTCAAAAATTCAACGCTTCACAATTCGTCATTCCGAGTATTCTGTGGTTCTCAGAAGAGACCCAGAAAAGCCATCCATAGGCTACATTTCGCTGCGTTACAAGTAGGCGTTAATTTAAGTGTGAACATATTTTGCAATTGCCTTCAAATTTCGCTAGTGCAAGCAAATGCAGCAAATTTCACGGGAGCTCGAATACGGCTGAACTGTGGTGATGAGACGCCATTGTGACGGAAGAACGTCCGTGTCTTTGCGGCAAAGCTTTGCAATTTAAATTGGTGGTATGAGCGAACACCCATTCAACTACTTTTACATGTTCCTCCTGGTTCCCTTCAATTTCTGCCTATTTGGTGCCCTATGTTCAAAACTTCTGCAGATTGGTTAGTGCTATTTTTAATCAATGTGTAATGTTCAAAATAACTGGCATTTGATCAAATTCTTCTTGATTTTTGGCTGCCGCTGGCCCCAGGAAAAGGTGAATTTTTTTGTGCTGAGAAGAACATCAGCATGAAGTCTTCTCTTAGATTGTTCCTAGGTCTTAGTGAAAACGTCGCGGACAGATATTTCTTCGCATTGGCGACAGAAATGATTGTTGTGCTAAATATCAAGGAATCATAATTCAGGTCCTAGAGACAATAATTAGTAGTCAGTAGGCATAATATTCTACCCAATAGACGTGTCATTCACCAGCACAGTTGACGCCTGAAAACACTGCAGGTGGGCGGTATTTCTGGTTCTTCCTACTTTCAACTATTCAAGAAAACACGCTGAAATATATAACAAGTGGAGCTTTTTTTAAAAAGACTTTAGTGTCAAAAAATGAGGGCTGGAAGCAAATATATGGATTATATCAGGCCTACTTTTAAGCATTAAATGATGCTCAAACTTGAAAAACAGGAAATCAAACCTAGAAAATGACAAACATTGCAAAGTTGACGACTCCAGACTGTCTCTGTAATCAGATAAGCGCTAGATGTTTTTTTTTTTCGTAAAAATAAACCCGTTTTGGCAGTATTTTGCTCATTCGTTGCGATGTTTTGGCACTTTACGTTCTCCGTTGCTCCACGACTGCCCAAATGTTGGTGCATCCTGTCCGTTTGCCGCGTTGACGTTCCCTCCTATTTTAAAGTCGGAATTATTAGTGTCTTGAAGCCTCGATTTGGCAGTTGTCTCAGTGACTTAGGCTTACTGCTGAGTAGAACTGTCACACACGCACACAACGATTTTTTTTCCATTATCCAAGCTCCTCGTCCAAATATTGTGTGCAATTATTTATACATAGACTGCTTTGCATGAGCCACTCGTGACAACAAGTTGAAAGGAAGACGTTTTCGCCCTCGCTATTTCACTACTTTAATAATTATGGATAATATGCTCAATCACTAGTGTCAAAAAAAGTAAATTTTATGTCCTGAGATCTCCCACAGTTTACTACCTTCTCAAAGTAACAGTAATCTTGAAATTATGCAACTGATTACGGTGCAATCAAATATGTGGCCGACGATACTGTCCAGTCTCTACAACAGTACAGTTGATAGGGGGCTAACAATTGGCAGCTATAAGCCATTTGTCTAGTTGCAAACACAGAACCACTGAATATATATTTCTCACTCTAACTTCCTTAAATTAGGATTTTTCTTTCGGAACAAATCTACTTTGTCACCTCTTAACGATTCCCTGTTGGTTGAATACTTTTGACCATCATTCAGGTGACAATCGAGCTGTTTCCTCTGTTGACGGAACCTTTTGCTTCCTCCAACAAGTTTTCCGGCATCCAGTCCCGAGCATCTTTCTCTTTTACCCCTTTTTTGGTGGCCAATGCTCATCTCGGCGTCACTTCTGGTCTCCTTTTGCTTTGCTCGCCATTTTTTTCTACTCCTCACTGCAACAGTTTGAACTTGTTGTGTACAGTCCTATAACAAACTTCTGGTGCATTTTTTGATGAAGTCTTCTGCAATTTCCTTTTATTTAAATTAGCTCCGCCAGCTTCGTTATGGCAGTATTCGGCATTGATCTACGCCCTCCACTGCCTTGTAATTGTCATGCACCATTCAGATAAAGTTACCCGTTATTTTGGTGGAATTAATTGGGAACCTCAGGGTCAACTTCTGAAA